TGGGGCCGGGGGGGCGGGGGCCCCTTTTAGCCTCTGCAGGGACTCGTTGCTGCCAGGGGAAGACATATAGGATATACGGCTCCTTGCTAAAGCGAGAGCCTCGGGGGGAAAACGGCGTTTTGGGGTCTCTCTGTTCTCACGGCAGTCCCGTCTCTGCAGGATCCTTTAACCACCATCCGTGAGCACTGTGAGCAGACGGAGAAATGTGCGAAGGCGCGGGAGCGGCTGGAGCTGTGCGACGCGCGGGTCTCCTCCAGGTCCCAGACAGAAGAGCAGTGCACAGAGGAGCTCTTTGACTTCCTGCACGCCAGGGACCACTGCGTAAGTGCAGCACCCGTGGATGGTGCTGGGAGCAGAGCGACCTTTAGCCATGTTTCTGAGAGTGCAAACAGTTCAAGTGTGAGATGTGGTAGCTGTTCAGTCACAGTGAGCTCTGAAGAATTGTGAGCCGTGGTGCTTTTTCTTGTTAAATGCTTGGTTCCTCCGTGTTACAACAGTTCCAGCTGGGATTCGGTAGGTTATGAAACAAATAAACACAGTGTTTCTGCCCTGGAAATGACACTTCGCTATTTCAGTGTTGTTTCCTATTTTAAAGTTAAACCTTTTCAGCCAGAGGTGAAACTTTGTAAGAAATCTCAGCTTGTCAGTTTTCTTGAATGACTTGTTGCAAAGCAATGCGAAGAGGGTAAGACCCTGCTGATTTCCAGCCCTAAAGTATGAGTTGCCGAGTGCTTTTTCTCTTTTCAGGTTGCCCACAAACTCTTTAAGAGCCTGAAGTGAAGGCAAGTGTGATTGTCCGTCTGCTTCCACAGCTGGTGGTGGCAGTTCCTGGATCCACAGTACAGTTTGCCGCCCGTTCATTCTCCATGCCAAGTGTAAATGAAACAGCTTCCTGGCAGTGACCGAGCGTCAGCACATCATTGCGTTTCTTCTCGTGGAAGATGCGCAGTGGCGCAAAAAAAATGTTGATGTTATGTAATTTTCCATATTAAACATTCAAAGTTCCCATGGAATTACTCTCTGTTTATTTCCTGGTTCTTGTGCTTCTGACTTGTACTGGGTTAAGATGAAATTAGTGGGGGTCAGAGCCCAGTTTTTTGGGGGAGACTTTTCCTCACTTGTGGGAATGTCCTTTTTGTGCAGCCATGTTGCGCAGCGGCTGGAGGGCGATTCCACGGGGGGAGGAATTTGTATGTTGGAGCCACAAAGATTATTTCCAAGCTCCACGAGACCAATGTTGTTCACACAGTGAGTTCTGACCAAGTTAAACTAAAAGGAGTGAGCCTTTTCTAGGAGAGAAGTTTACGTGCTTTGTGGGAAAACTGTCAGCTCTCCCTCACTGTCACCTACTGCTGCCAGCTGCTGGAAGAGCCTCCTGGCTGGGGTTGGCTTTGGGTTCTTGCGCTGAGTGACTGCCTGTATGGCTGCAGATGGGCACAGTGGTGGTTCCACCTGCTCGAACCCTGAGCAGAGCGTGAAGGGTCACCTGGGGGAACCAAAGCCCTTCTGTGTGAGTCACCAACCCCTTCTGCTGACCAGGGACTGTCCTGCGGAAGGGTCAAGTTCATCCTCTGCCTGTTTTTCTTCTGAGTAGGGTGTTTAATAGCAGGAAAACTGATGTTTCACAGGCCAGCAAGTCCTATTCTTCAAGGTGAAAAAAACCCATCTTTAAGTCATAGAATCATAGAATTGCCTAGGTTGAACGGGACCTTTAAGATCAAGTCCAACCATCAAGTCTGGCTGTTCTTTATCAATGTAGCAGTCTTGAACCCTTTTGCTGGTGGATTTCGAGTCTAACCCCAAGTGGATTGAAATGGAGCTTTATCGGACGAAGCGTAGCGTGTTAACGTTAGGAGTTTTGGGTGGGGTTTTTTTTGTAGCACAGGGTTTGCAAAGAAGGTGCCGGGCTGGATGCGCCTCTCCCGCCGCAGAGCCCCGTTTGTTGCCGCATCCTTTTCAGCAGCCGATGCCCAAACCCGATTCCTCCGTCCCCGCACCGGGAGGGGGGGGGG